ACCGGTTCTAGCTATCAGCGCACAGCCACTTGGGGTGCAGGATTGCTTCAGTCTCCTTTGTAGTTATCACTTTTGGTGATCGCATCATTGTGGAAGTTATTTGCGTATCCACAAAGGTCGCATGACTTTTCAGGGACTCAGTCATGCAGGAGAATGGCCTGTCAGTTATAGGTAGGGGATGCAACGTTACAGTGCGGCCGATGTTACTGTGTAGATCAGAGACCTAGCCAGTTCACACTGAAGATACTTGGAAATTGGTTTTCTTTCATCATTAATGCTTGATGAATTTTGCTCGCATTTGGTTGCGGTATTACGTCAACAGCACTAAAGTACACTAGTTGGTGTTTAGAAGGAGATCCTCTGGTGTCTTACTGGTGCGTGTATCAAGTTTGAATCGTTTGCGTTGGTTTTGCTATGTGCTGGATATGTGCGTTGACTGCTTTCCTCGGTCTGAATGATATGCAACTGTTTGCTTGACAGACAGTCAGTAAAGGTGTGATGAATTTGACCACAATGGTGTGTACTGTCTTTGCGGGTGGAATTGTCCGAGTGGTCCATAAGGGTAATTAGAAATACTTTTAGACATGGTGTGTTCGCAGTCGGGGGTGTTCCTATATTCGGTTTCTTGCATCGTGATTAATTTGACCAATATTCTCTTAGTTGTTTTTTATGGTTTACATGCTACCTCATTTTCCTGACCGTTTTTAACTATTGTTGTAGTCTTAGGTACGCGAATCATTGCAGCTGGCCCCTTCGCGCCTCGGTGCCTAACTGAACTGAACCAAATTTATGTTTGACCTGGTGTCACCGATGGTGGTCCATCGCGACGAGACTAGACCATAATGTGTTTCGATGGTTTGCGTGCCTCAGTGATCCATTGAGCTATGCTGGGTGGTGTTTTTTGCACTTTTAGAACCACTCATACCAGATTTGCCAGTGGGTAGAGGTCAGACAAACTCAGTCTTTTGGTTCTCCAGGTTGAGCTTTAGAGTGAAGGTGACTCCTTACTCTATGAAATGAACTCTGTGTATCCCAGCGCCGAAACCCCGCTGCCTTGCTGTCAGATTTTTGAACCAAAGGCTTTGGTTGAGAATCCTAATCGTTTTCCTGTCTAGGTCTGGGCAACCTGACAGTATCCTGCCCACGCAATAGTATGAACCTTTCCCCGAACAATTTCTTGATGCTCTAGCCATCGTAGAGGATAATCAACGGCCTCCTATCTCCTACATCGAGCTCAGTGGATATCGCTTTGGATGCTACTACTCAAGCCTTCCCGTCTTCTTATTTTTCTTCTTGCGCTTTTTCATCCTTAGCGTCCCGTTCCAACTTCACTTTTGCCCCCCCCCCGTTTTCAATCCTCCAATTCTTGACCCACCCCAACCTTGTTTCAGTAGTCACTTATCTTCAAATTTCAACTCTCCCACAATCACAAGACGTGACTCCAATCCAGTCGACAAGTCCACGTTCAACCAAGCCGACAACCTCAGTTCATCCGTATCCCTTTGGAGTCCTCCATCCTTGCTATTACTGGCATGCTTCGACTTGCACACTTTGCTACAGATTGGCCGACAATCAGCACGCCCGAACACTAGAGGCCCTCTCGATCGTTATTTGCTGTTTATCAGAAACCCGCTTGCATGATTCGAGCTTCGTGCTTACCCTGCAACCCCCACATTCGACACTGGCAGCACCTTCTCATAGCGCCTGTCTGACGATGATGCAGCTTCAAATGCTGGTCAAGCTGGCGTCGGTATTGTTTTGAGTCTGCGGGCTGAAGCCGCTCTGATCGATTGGATCCCAGTCAACTGCCGGATATGCGCCAACAGATTGGCTGGCTCGTTCAGAGCTTCGAAGTCGCGCGGAGACAAACGGTGCCTGTTTGTCATTGTGGATTGCAACCCCACAAACTGTAGCGCTTATTCGGTAAAAATGATTTCTATGACCAACTGAACGCGCTCCTTCGTTACAGGAAAAGTACGACTACTGTGCTTCTGGCTGGCGATCTGAACGCCTAAGTTGGAATACTGTCCGTCGATGAGTTTCCTCTGGGCTCTCGAAATGTAGAAGTCTGACTATGAGGCGCATAAGACTCTGTTGAGAATAAAGCGTTATTTATGTGTTACAGAGCATCGCTGCACGGCCCAAAAGCGTGTTCGTCGTCCACCTTCTTGGCCCTGTATCTCTTCGCACCCTTCCGGTAGGGGGCATCTCACGCTAGCCAAGCAGTGCTAACGGTGGTGTTCAAACTATCTTCCCCACGCTCTAACACGATGTTCGGCCAACCGGCTTCCTCGTCTGATTCAGCCAGCCCCGTCCTCACACTTTGGCCCAGCGTTCGTTTGCATAGCATTGGTAGAGCGATTCTCACGCTTCGACTCTCGCGACAAACTTCACGTCTGGCCAAACGGCTTCTCCCTGTTCTCACACTCTAGCCGAGCATTCGTTTTCATAGTGCCAGTCGAGTGGTTCTCATGTTTCGCCTCTTGCAGTATAAGACCACTGGTCGCATATTCACCAGACTTTCTTAGCAGCAGACATGCCTTCACGTGGCAAATCAAATTGCCAACCTGGACGTTGGATATCTATACAGTCTCTGAAATTTTTACAAGATCGCCGACATATTCCGGCTGGGAGCGAACACTGCGAAGCTCACAAAGACCTCATGGTAAAACTGCGTGCTAACCTAAAGAGAAATCGCGAAGTCTGTTGGTCTCCGCGTACATCGGAGTTGGAAATGGTCATTGCTCCTGGTAACCATCGCAAGCTATTCCGTCTGGTACACGAAACAGGCAGCAAACTTTGTGTTAACGGGACCATACGTGACGAGAGTGAATGGCGAGTCCACAGTTTGTCAGATCGCTTGGAGCATTGGGCCGAAAACTTTGCAAAGCAGCCTAAACAATCGGATTTGCCAGTTTCTCCATTTTCCATTGATCGCTCTTCTCCCTGGGCTGTTCCCCTGGACCCGCCTTCGTGCGCAGAAGTCGAACGTGAGATCAGACCATTGAAACTAAATAAGGCCGCAGGATCGAATGGAATCCCTCCGGCTCTTTATATTCGGGGGACCTGCTCTTATAAGACGATTTGCACAACTTACCTGTAAAGCTGTGGGGGCAGGAGACTGTCCCAACTGACAGGAGCCGCTCCGTAGTATTCCTAATTTTCAAGAGGGGCTCACATTACGAATTCGACAACCACAGAGAGCTCAATCTGATTTCAATTGCCTCCAAGATACTCGCCTCTGTCATACTCCATAGACTTGCTGGCATACGTGAAAACCAGATTCGCGTGGAGCGCGCCGAGTTTCATCGCAGTCGCCGCTGTATTTATCACATTTTCACCTTACGTTAATTGTGGGAGCACCGTCATACTTATTGGCAAGCTTTGGCGTCAAAAGTGCTCCGACTCGGTGGGTCGATGTGCATTTTGGGACCACCTTCTTAGGAAGGGTGTGCCGGAAAAGACGTAAACTTCATCGGAGCGTTTTACTCGCACAGTTCGAGAAGAGTGAGGGTTTACGGCAAACTGTCGCTGCCCTTCAGTATCTCCAGCGGCGTAAAGCAAGTATGCTCGTTGTCACCTTTCCTTTTTAACTTCTCCATTGACAAAGTCTTGTAGACTGCCTTCACAGGACACGACTTAGAAGGTGTGCAGCTGCTTCCAGGTGGTTAACTTCTTGGTTTGGAGTACGTCGACATTGCTCTTACCTGTGGCAGCTTTCAAACTTGCAAAGTAGCATTGGACAAACTAGCATTGGCTGTCAGTCGTTTCGGGCTATGCTTCGCACCATCGAAAAGCAAAGTCCTTCTCCAAGATTGGCAGAGACTCACCCCTGCGCTGACCCTTGGTGATGATCAGATAGAAATCATCGAGAAACTCAAGTATCTAGACAGCTATACAAGCGCCAGTGAAATGGAAGATGAGATCACAAACCACATAGCAAAAGTTTGAGGCGCTTTTACCTATCTTCGTCACCTGTGACGTTGGCGTGACATCGCTTTCCCCCTGAAGGGCAGTTTTACAACGCAGCCGTCCGTTCAACTTGTGCGGTTAGGAAGCTTGTCCCATTAAATCGGCAGACATAACGAGTTTAATCACGTTCGATTATCACTCCCTTCGCAGTTTTGGCTCATCCGGTCGGAGCACCACATGAGCAGTGGGCCTCTTGTATTTGGTGCAGGAAGAGCGAGTGGACCGCTCAACACCGTTATATCACGCACCAGGCTCCGATGTCTGGGCCACGTGTTGTGCATGCTAGATCACCGACTGCCACGACGTGCGTTGTTTTCGGGCCAAGGGTGTTGATAGAAGAAGAGGAGGGGAAGCCAAGCGATGACTTGCTTAAGGAGAATGAGGTCTCTCACTTCGAAGTTGGCGTCGTTTGGTGTGTCCCGACTGCCGAGTTTGGGTCCGAACGACGATAAACACTAGTTGACATGGCAAGGAGCCGACTTCACTGGCGTTTGTATGGTTTTTTGTCCCTCCTTCTCCTGCCTAGCCTCTCCCTCGAACCACGATCTCTCACTTGACGCATACTATGTTACTAAGTAGTGTGTTGCCTGTTTTTTGCATTTCTTGTTTAATGTCGCTTTTCCTTATATCCTGTCTTTATGTATTGTGTTTCTCACCCTCAGGCAATGTGTGGTGTTTGGTGACCGATTATGGTGTTTTTGAAGATTAGTGTTCAGACTATATCGTATTCGGACGTAACCGAACCTGCACACGTTGCTTTGATGCACCTTATGGATAATAATCACAATACTTTCCATTACTGAGGAACTGTTCTGGCCACTTTAACCTCCGCTTTAATCGACCCCGTGCTCTTTCACTCATTACTCGAAGACTAGCTCTAACAGCGTCTCGTGACATTCCCTTGTATTCTTACTCACCTGGTAATGTGTTTGCTTCTTGATTGTCAACTTTCCCTATCTATTTTGTGATGGATTTCAGATATTCTCTACTCCTGCTGTTCCCTCCCTCTCTTTTAGCCTAATAATTAAATGGCCCACGCTGTAACCGCATCTGTCTGGTTGCTTCCGGGTGAAACCGTCCACAAAGATGCAACAATTAGTGGAGGTCGATTACTGCTGACAGACTACCGACTTTTATTTACCGGCCGTGTTCTTGTAACTACATGGAGCGTCCCACTTAGCCTTATCGCTAAAGTGGAAGTGTTGGATTTATGCTCCCTGAAGTTCGTTTCTAAGCTCGGTTTGTCATTCGCGTAAGTTTCACAACGTCATCTTTATATGTCACTGTCATCTTCCAGCTGTGAGTTCGCTTCCGAGAATGAATGCGAATGTTGGATGGATCGTATTCAGCAAGTCGCTTTCAAGCCTGGATTAGACAAGGACAGCTTCTGTTTCCTCTTTCACGATGCTTTATGCGCACGCATTCCGGATCATCCGTTTTTACAATGTTTGTTATTGTTCTGCTTATTTTGTATTTTTCTTCTAGGCACAAGTAAGCTTCTGTCTGGAACAGTTAATGAGAAGACACCGGCCAAGCCATCCTTACCTCTGGACCTTCGTTTGTCCTCTGGTTTCAACATTGTTGATGCCGAGTATACGCGTATGAAATTCGGTTCCCCATGGCGAATCACGCAGGCCAACGGGAGTTTTAGGTAAGTTAGATCGTTCACCTCTGAGTTTTACTTTTCTCTCTAGAATTTGTTCCTCTTATCCAGAATATCATATTGTCCCGAGTGATATCGAAGACAATGCGATCGCTAGGATGTCAGAATTCCGCACTCACAAGCGATTCCCGTCGGTGGTGTGGCGGTATGTTGTTTTACTGATTCACATGTTAATTGCCTGTCTTCAGATCACAAACAACTGGAGCTGTTCTCCTGCGAACCTCGGAACCGCGTGTTGGCTGGATGTATAACCGCAACGAATGTGATGAACAGTTTATGTCTAGCGTATCTAGGAGTTGTATGAAAGACCCTGGTTTTTATCCTCCAAAAGGTTAGTTTCGTTTTCCACTGAGCGTCTTTTTGTTAAAAGTGGCTGTAATAACATACACTCCGGTAGCATTTGCCTTCATCAGGTGTTGCACCTGATGCAGTTCTGTGCCACTTGACATTTGTATTTTTTTCCCTTGGACAATTCATAATAGGTCCACTCAGTTAGACAGTTGCCAATAAGTCTGGATAGGCACTACATGACCGTTTTCTTCTTCTGGGATTCATCCGTAGTGCGCTTTCCTTGTGTCCGGTGATCGGCTGGAATCCGCGGCTCTTCATTTTCCATCAGGAACTATGGGCGATTGTAGGTGGGACGAATCTCTTACAAAACTAGTCCAACTCTCTCCTTTCGCTACTCTCTGAAAGCGATTGGCACTCTGGTTGGGTGACAACCAAATATGGACAGCCAGCAGCACGACAGAAGTATGTGGAGATACTAACCGATAGACTAAGTGGCATTCGTTCTTGTCATCTTCTTTGACGGAGACCTCAGTGCCGAACTTATTAGCGGTTATCTACTATATAAACTATGACGCAGCCACAAAGTCAGTGGTGTGCTTGCATTTGTTCTCTTCTTTATGCCGCTGAATTAGCCCATCCGACGATTTAGTGCCCGCCGTATGCTCACTGCTTTGCCTCCCCAACTCTACTTCACCTCGCTTTGGATGTTGTGACGTCTCCGAACATTGTCACTCTGATTTGGTACCTGGTTTGGTTTGGTACCAGAGAAACTTGTCTCTGTTCTGGCTGTACTTCACTTTTCATACGCTTACACATCGTCGTAATCTTTATTCGCTTGGAATCTGCACTTGATTCATTTTCTAACTACTTTCTGTGACGATACCAAATTTCGAAGGGATGACAGCGAATTTCCCCTCTCTCTGCTATTCCCTAACTCCTTGGGTGACAAGTCTACTGGGAAATGGTCTCTGAGTTTATCATAAAAAACGCGTTGCACCAGAACTGCCCTGTCTTTCACCTTCTGTGTTAGGCCTTCTGATCGAGCTGATCACGAATGACCCATGCCTACGTTTTTCCATTCTTTTTCCGATTCTCCTTTGCTGTTTGTTGGACTTGTAGTACGCGGTCAGGCCCAGCTGCTGTTCAGGCGGGACGCTTGATGCTACACGTTTGCAGCAAAGTGCAAGGTAATCTTAAAAGATTGGAGGGTCATTTCGAATTACTCGTTATGTGCGTCCCAATCTAATCACACAACGATTAATTCAAAATGACCCTCCATTCAGTCATCAACTGTTGTGCCACGCTTTGCCAGTCGTGACAGGTTGCCTAAAGGGGTGAAGGTCCCAAGTAACATCTTAATGGTTTCGGGTTTGAAGTCTTCTATCTATCTGATGTGATCCACTAAGGTCTAAACGCGTCGCGGAGTGCGGTGTTTTCGGGCACCTATTGTTAGAAGATTTTGCCAGTACCATCTCTCGAAGCATCCCAAGTGGTTGATCGATTTGTTCCTACAGTTAATTGTATCAACTCGTCAGGCGGTGGCCGATTAGCTTAAAGCATCTCCCTTTGTAACCCACAAACTTTATGTTTGAATCTGCGTAGATACAAGCGACATCACAGTTTCGTCAGCCCACGCGCGACTGTTAGTGGCCGCATGGTAGCGAATCAACTGTACGACCTACGGGCGTACTGCTGATGCCCCCCCCCACTGGCACACCTGGGTGCTGCACTGCTGAAGAGGTTGGTGTACACATCGTTAACGCTCGAATTGCTTTTCATAGCCCACTCACTACCTTACGGAATTTTTGCTTTTTGGTTTGCAGAGCAGTTTACAGCGTTGAGGTGTAGTCATCGTTACTTTACCGATTGGCGACACGATAACTGACGACTTAACGCGGCTGACAGGCCTTGACAGCCAGTAACTATCTAGTAAGACCACTAACGGAGTCACGCTGAAATTTTACTCACTTGACTTCTGTGTGTCCCATCGGACTATCGGTTGCAGTTGGTCCACCTACACTATCTAGGCTACGTCTTTCGCAAGCTTGCCAGCCGGATTCCCCTGTGCTCATTGTGTATCGATACTCATGTGGTAGGGTAACATTCTGGAGTTGTCACTCAATAATGTGTCTGTGCTTCAGAAAGTAAGTAACCGAAATAATGGACAGAGTTGGTGCTCGCCGTCCCGGATGGAGGACTCGGAAACAGCTAAATCATTAGTTTGAAATCCTGTCGGCTTTGACTTGGACAGGAAACTGTTGGCTTTCTTGCGATCGATACGTTACTTCTGCCTCTTAACTGACCATCTACCTTTTTCTATTCTTCATGACCAATTATGGCTCGGTCACCGAAGTGCAATGGACACAGTTGCCATGATTCACGCCAACAGGGTTAGTGGGGCAAAACACAATGGGGAGGGGATAAAACTAATCGCGACGGAGAATGCGCAGTTAGGTGCAAGAGACCACACCATGTTGGACGGGATCTCCAATACCTAGTGTGTGGCCTATCCGTGACAGGTACCAGCCTAACCAAGCTTCTCAATTCATTTACACATATCTTTATGCCACGTCATGGGATTGGCGTTTCACATTTTTGCTTAGTTCACTACATCTGCGGTATATAATGAACACTACAGACAGGTATACAGTAGGCGGTCCAAGCTTATCAGACGCTCTAGTGAAACACCGGGTTTTTCCTAAACCCTAACTGGCGAACTTCGGTTTCTGCCGCGGGGCATTCCCACCACAAGTGAACAATACTCTCCAAATACCTGTGCTTAAGGAGGGTCAATCTCTAAACGCCTCCAACACCGGTTAATTAGGTCTCTGATTCATACGGTAATACTAAACTTACACTATCATCGTACACCCTACGTTTCACAAGCCGATATTCCCCCGTTTCTCCATATTGCGAGGACTTTTAAAAGTCACACTGGTTTCTCTGATATGTAAAATAACCTACTCATTGATTTGGTCATCCTACTGGGTACAACTTCCAAACTAGACGAACTGATTGCCCACTCCGGGTAACTGTTCGATGACATTTAGAACCAGCGTGTACCACCCAAGTGCTGAGACAGTAGCTTTCATACGTAGAGGGCGAAGCACGTACCGAAACGTGCAGTGCTCTCCATCAATTGATCCAGAACCACATCTACAGAGGCTGGGTTCAACTCAGCGTTATAACCGTTGTTAGCTGGTCATCTGGCAGAACTTTCACCCCAGAAGAGTTTGAGGGGGCAGTATCTCTTACATTTGCCAAGTCGAAGAAGTAACACAAGAATGCAGACCGGTCTGGGCGAATCCCCAGTTGTCATAGGGAACTCAGGAGACAATTTCTTTTCTTTTCTGACATCCCATAAGTGGTCGCATTAGAGACGCTTCGGCATAGAAGATTTCTCTGGCATATACTTCACTAGCAAACAGTTTAAACTGCTTACATGATCAGCAGAATCGAAGGCGGCTTTGGAGGCAAGGAAAGTCACCATGTTGCGTTGCTTAAAGAAACGTGAGTTTGTGATCATCGCGGCATCCATCAGCTGGAAGCCAGCCAGGCGTTTACTGATTCGACTCTCAAGACAACCAGGGAATAGCCGCAAAATGATACTTATGAAAAGTGTGAACGCAATGGAACTATTGCTAATGCCGCGATGCATTTTGTGTGTCCCATTTTGAATGGGGGGAGAGAGTTGTCAATTGCCAGTCTGAAGGTGCATAGACCAGTCAATGGTTTGTCGCCTGGCTTGCCGAACAACCTCCTCGAGGTGCTAGCTGGGTGGTTCGGGATTTTCCCGTTCCAGCAAATGGTTCGGCGGCAGTGTTCCAGGACGTGGTGGGTTTTCGTCTGGCAAGCGTTCTCCCCATAAAAGCCACATATGTCCGTTTAACAACACTGTGACGTGGCGGACGTGACTCGCCACTAAATCAAATCACTGCCCCTTGCTTCATCCTGGTGAAGCATTGTATTCCAGCAACGTTATGCTGTGGTTCTGGAGAGCATTGGGCCCCTGTTTGACAAAGGAACAAACGAAAGGCGTATGAACTGAGCAAGCAGTCACCGGTTCCCAATGGGCGCGATTCCCTGAATTCGCTCCGCTGCCTTGCGGGCAGGCTATTCAGCCAAAGGCTCGGGGTTGTGTCCCCTAAGTCAACACCCTACTTCGGCTTGGGCAACCGGGTAGTATCTCGCCCTCTGACGAAATCATGGACATTGTTGTGTTGTGTTTTCCTTTACTATTTCTGTACCATCGTTTGAATCCCACGGTTTCTGATGGCATTATGTCTATTCGTAGACGTTTGCATATATATATATATATATATATATATATATATATATATATATATATATATGCCCCAGACCCTCAACATTGAAAGAGGGAAGCTGTCCAGTCCAGACATCTCGTTTCTTTTTGATAAAGCGGATTCATATTGTATCGCTTCCATATTGAGTAGCCTGATATTAATGTCCCACTTGAACTTAGGCGATTCATCAATCTATATTGTCGCAACGGGCCCGCGGACCTATTTTTACAAATGCTTCGTCTAGCTGACTAGTCGCTGCAACTAAAAATAGGTTAACTGTCCGTCTTTCTCAGCCATTTTCTCGGAATTATGTTCCAGATGAATTGGGGTAGTACTTGACTCTTCCCAACCGCACTGGATTTCTCCGTCTCATAGGCCCTTCCATCCGCTAACATTTGGTCACTTGTACGACTTTTAATCCGAAGGCATTTCAAGAACTTGTTGAAACGTATTACTCAGCAGAAATAATCTGCGCGTTCCATCGTGGAATGCAGTGTTTTCGTGCGGACAACACCCAATATTCATCACCCTCGCTAGTCACACTTCAAGTGATCGATTTGTTTTAGGTTCACTTCCATGCGCGTCGCGGTTCGCATTGAGCTTGCACCTCGCATTCCAGCCACACAACGTGTATTTCGAAATGACCCTCCAAACTAACAAACGTTTCAATGTCATTGTGACAGTATAAGTGCCTCCACTTTCTCAGACCTTCTTTATGTCGCAGTTCAGATGATCCCAGCTGTCATTGGACTCACACATTTCATTCGTCCTCCGTGACAACTGACAAGCTATTTCGTCTTGTGGTTGTTCGATTACGGTTTGCAAGTTTACCTCATGAGCAAGTACCCTCGATATTTGGTGCCTGTCTGAAGCTATAAGATTGACCGCTCTACACACTAGTACTAGGATGTAGTTAGAATCCAGACACGTATTCCAACTCAATCTACCATATCTATCTTCGGTTTGTTTTCGTTCGAGCGACTGTGAAATCTAGTGAATTCTTCTGGATATCCATTGGTTCTCAATGTCTGTGTGATGAACGATAATTCCAACTCCACACAGTCGCCACTGGACTGTGTGAGAATTTCAACAGCTTCATGGCGGCCCAATGAAGCGTTGCGTTATCAAGACACTGTTTGATCAAGCCTGTAGAATATACAAGAACGACTGTGTGGAACCGGAATTTTTATTCTTCGATCAGCAATGGTGAATTGGTATGCGGCATCTGTAGCTGGTAACAATCTGATCAGTTTAGGACCATAGGTGCCGTGTAACGCGCTGTGAATCTTTGTGTTGGTAGGCGTTACCGCTAACACTCATGTTTCCGTTCGTCGTCCGTTTACCCAGAAACGGTCACAACCGACCTTCTGATTCGTTACAACGCGATTAGTTTCTTGTGTGTATCTTTCGGGGACACAGCACATATCAATTCCGAGGAAGTGAAGAGCGAGAGTGCTTTTCTGTTGATCGATCTGTCCAGGTGTTTAGGTGTTAAACGAATCGATGTCAAGTTCGACATTTGGCACGGAGGACGAGTTAGGTGCACAACGAAATCAGTTTCAATGTTAGTACCTGTGACAAGGGGGAGTTGAAGGGGAAGAGGAAGACAAGAAGGAGCGTTGGCAACCACGTTTCCTGGGAGAATGATTGTCTCCTGCATCCTATTCCGAAGAAGATTTTTCTTCAGAGTATCTTGCCCTATAACCTACCACATTAGACAGTGGAGACTGCTTACTATTAATTGCGTCATCCGTCGAAGAGACTTGTTTCGCCTTACGGATCGTAACTGATCACCTGATCGAGCTGAATGGTTATAATAAGTGCGTTCCGTACTGCGAAAACTCTTCAAATTTCCCCTATCATTCCGGGATTATTCGAAATACTTGTACTGGGATCCGAATTATATTTCTGCGCCCTTATCCTTTTGGATAATGTCACCGGTTGCCAGACTTTCCTGCTCAAATGGGAGCATATCAGGAGTCTCCATCTCAGTTTAACCTCATTTTCTTGTTTCCAATGTTTTGGCTCCTTTGTGTGGTAATCGATCCACTTCTGTTTCAGCCCCGACTCGCTTACTCATCGTGGACGCAAGGACCTTCAGAGTGGCCCAACTCAAACGGTTTTTAGGCGGTGGCTACGAATACTCGGGCTACTACAATGAAGCGGAGCTGTGTTTCATGGACATGCCTAACTTACATGCGGTACGCGTCAGCTTCGAGCGCCTTAGCCAATTGTATGCCATGGAAACCGATGCCAAGTAAGTTCTCACACCGTCTGCTCGATAGACAAGTTTGTATTGATAGAAATATTTGTGTGTTGCTCTTCCCAGCACTGGCACTCCGCGACCGCGGTTTCCTCCTGTTTTTGACTCGTCAGCTGGAGATAGCCTGAGCTGTGCTGGAACTCAGAGCTTAGTAGTTCGCGGCTGACGCCCTGAACACTATGCTACTGAGATCCGCGAGCAACGCTTGGCACAGCGGAACGCAATTCAAAGCAGAATTTAGAGAACACGCTGTGTGGTTGGGTTACGACTCTCAACCTCTATAGAGACTTCGGTTCACTTTGAGGTAAACCTCGGTCATTCCGATCTCAAGGACCGTATCCTGAATGGAAATAGTTGGGTGTTGCTCTTCGCAACACTGGCACACCACGACCGCGGTTTCGTCCTGATTTGGACTCGTCAGACTATCTCCACCTGACTAGTCCAAACCAGGACTAAACCGCGGTCGTGGTGTGCCAGTGTTGGGAAGAGCATCACCTAAATATTTACATTCCAGTACCGGTCCTCGAGATCGGAGTGACCGACGTATACCTCAAAGTGAGCTGAGGTCTCAATAGAGGTTGCGAGTCGCCACCCAACCACACAGCGTGTTCCCTAAATTCAGCTTTGAAGTTTGCATTGAAATATGTGACTGCAGCTACGTCTGTTCGTCTGGATGCTTGCCGACACCCTATTACTCCTAGATATCTTCCTCCACCTCCGATGAATTCTTCATTGTGATCTTTCTTCTTCACAGCTGGTTCTCCACATTGGAAAAAACCTGTTGGCTAAACTACATCAGCCAATTACTCAAGAGTTCTTTAGACATCGCTGTCGCAATGGAGTCTGTCGGACGGCCGGTAATGGTCCATTGTACAGATGGCTGGGATCGCACTGCCCAGCTCAGTTCGTTGGCACAACTGCTCGCGGATCCATACTACCGCACCATCGAGGTCAGTGTTATCAGTGGAAGGATTTATGGACCACCTAGTTTCCACTTTCTCTCGCATAATTCTTCCACTTCGTTGCTGTTCTTTAGATGAACTAGATTCCATTTCAGTCGATTGTCATTACTATTTGTCTTTGATTCAGTAGCTTCCAAGTCAAACAGTCTCCCACGCATCCAGAAGGGCACTTGAAGGCCGTTTCGTCCTTTGGGACTCGTCATTAGTGCGTACCCCTCAGCTCCTACAGAAACTAAATCCGTGACCTCTGGACGACATCTGCTGATGCCCCTAGATTTTGGCTGACGTCGGCCCGCCGTCATCATTTGCAAGCTGACCTCAATATAGCGCGGTTTATCCTCAACTGTCATGCAAGGTACAAACTTTGCATTGTAGGTCTGGCCTTTGAAGCCACGGGTTCCCATGACCGCTGCTATGTGTGCAGCGTAGCATTCAGAAGCTGTACAGGCAAATGATGGGATTAATGTGACTAACTTTTTGATGGGATATACCTACGCTGATCCTTGCGTTCCGCCACCATTACCCGTGGCCTAGTGACATAAGCCGCTGCATCTAGGGGTCGTGAGTCCGGTCCCCAGTGGATACGCACTACCGACGAGTCCCGGCAGGGCGAAACTTCCGTCTACCGCTTTTCCGGATGTGTGGTAGGTCCTGTGACCTGGAAGTCATTACGAAGAATCCTCATCAAAAGTGCCACACTCATGAATAATCCTTAAATACTCATGCAGTGTTGCACAGTAGTAAAAAATCCCTTTGTTGGATGAAAACTCAATGTTTCCAAGCGAACATATGCTTTCAATAATTCTTCTTCAAGCTTGTACAATTATATGCGAAAAAACGACCAAAATATAGACACGACACAGGGACCGGTGAAGCACATAGTTTACAGTCACTGGTCACTGTCAATCACTGTCCACTAGGACACAGTTGTAGCACGTGCACAATTCCTTGGTTTGGACGGAGCAGTTCGTCTGGGCCAAGTCAAGCACAGCGTGTGAGTGAATCTTTTCTGGACGCACAATTCCGACTCGTACAGTCTGGTCGCTAAACTCTCAGCGCTTTCGAACGCACTTTGATCACGTGGTTGAGAGATAACTTCGAATGCCTCTGCTAGATTGATGGAATGGCCCGTGTCGGCAAGATGTGTGGCGATGAATGAGTTGGTTAGCTTTCGGCACCCATTGGGGAAAAAAGACAAAACAAAACAGATCGAAAATCAGATCTGCAACTGCCTTATAAACCTCCGTGATGTGGGCTTTAATAGTGAAGGTGAATATGAAAACCTACGTCCCGTAGGCACCGCGATTCCAAGTTCATACGGTCTACCTAAAACGCATAAGCCTAATGTTCCTCTGAGACCAGTTTTGGACATGAAGAACTCTCCGTGCCATTCCACTGCACTGTGGCTCGTTGAACTTTTGGAGCCCATCCGAAAGCAGGTTGCTGTACACAGTCTAAAGGACAGTTTTGTGTTCATACGTATGATACGTGACCGAAATGTTACGAATCTAATCATGTGTTCCCTCGACGTTGCTTCACTTTCCACCAGCGTGCCACTATTTGAAACTATAAATTACATTAGTGATTCAATATCTCGGAATATGCTTGGAACCGACTGGGATTTCATGATTTCAGAAGGTTTAAATACAAATCGGTTTTGGTAGGGTTTTATTGTGACAACGTTTCTCCCTTGACCCAAGAGCTTCTTCTTGATCAGAATCAGATAACCATTGGCATTCCTACACTTAGCCTAAAGGAACTGTTGCTTCGATGCACCTTCAATATCCAGTTTTTGTACAACGGAGAAATATACCGACAACACGATGGTGTTGCTATGGGCACTTCACTGGGGCCGTTTCTTGCTGACGTGTTTATGGGCATGCTAGAGCAGAGCAAGTTAAGATCGGTCATCAAAAGCCTTAGCCTGTACTGCCCTTACGTCGATGACCTCTTTATACTACTCCATTCCTCCTGAAGCATCAAGCATCACACTGCCACATTTAACCAGGCGCACACCGCTAAAGTTTATATCTGAAGTGGAGGAAGATAGCTCTTCTCAGTTCCTCGATGTGCGCATGAAGCGACTCGATGATGGTTCCCTACAGCGTCGTGTGTGTAGAAAACGTACTTGGAACGGACAACACAGGGATTTCTACAGTTTTATTTCACTTAGCTAAAAACGGAACCTGATTTTCTGTTTGATGAGGCGGGCGGAAACAAGTTTCTCGAACGACACATTCTCTGAGGAACTGCAGCGCATACGCTTAACCCTGAAGAAAAATGGGTACCCGGATAACTTCATTAACGCCACCATGGAGCAAAGGAGGAAGGCTGCTGTAACTCTCACGGTCAGAAAGAAACTCATTTTTCTACAATAGCCGTACAAAGGGGAAACCGTTACCGAACTTCTAACTCGTGATATTTCTCGCGCTCTCAGGCACACCTTCCCAGCAGCCAAAATGCAGATTCACTTCACCAGTAGCCCGATGGTGAAAACTAACCCGAAAGACAAAAGGCCTGTCCACGCCAATTCCATGTGTGTTTACTCATTCACCTGTTCCTGTGTTTCATGGTATATTGGCCGTACGACGAGGCGCCTGTCTGACAGGGTGATAGTACACCATCCGACCTGGCTTGCGACTGGGTGCCGAAAGCTAACCAACTCACCCATCGCCACGCATCTTGCCAGCCATTCACCCAATCTAGCCGAGGAATTCGAAGTTATCTCTCGACCACGTGATCAAAGTGCGTTCGAAAGCGCATACTTGAATCGGCGTCCAGAGAAGATTCGCTCACACGTTGTGCTTGACTTGGCCCAGACGAACTGCTCCGTCCAAACCAAAGAATTGTGCACGTGCTACAACTATGTCCTAGTGGACAGTGATTGACAGTGACCAGTGACTGTAAACTGTGTGCTTTACCGGTCCTTGTGCTGTGTCCATATTTTGGTCGTTTTTTCGCATATAATTGTACGAGTCAGATGAAGAATTATTGAAAACATTTGTTCGCTTGAAAACATCGTGTTTTCACGCAGTGTTGTATATGGTGACCATTATGCTTATCATTGACGGCCTCCGTTTCCTCATTTGTCTGTCATTGAGGCTGCGAATAGCCACAGAACGTTTGCACCTACTGAGGGACCATAGGTAGTTTATGCTGCACTGAACACAGCTCCCTAAGTAAATGGGAATCGATTGTTTCGCAGCCGGCCCACACTCTTTCATCATACACCTCATTCATTCGAACATTGGGAATCGTGCGTATCAGACGGTGGCTGTGCCATAGCCCGTTCCACACTGGATGCCTGGATCCACTTTATGTGCCCAGCAACATCACGATGACTGTGCGCCTTATCTTCCCCAGCAACGACCAACTGTCTCCCGGACCACCCAGTATTATTGAGGTGACGGTTTATCGATAGGAAGGCACTTCTTCAACATTCACATCAAGCCCAGACAGAGAGTGCATATAAGACGGAAGGTTTAATGTGTCATACGCACGTCCGACAGTCAGTCTGTTGAATCTATGTATCCTGTTACCCTGTGGAAATCTGTAAACAGGGTCTCTTCTCTTTCAATCCTAAGCTGAGACTTGTGGGACATGGCATACACTAACAGCCAGCACGACTAGGCAGTTTGTTGTGACTTATCACTGTCAAACATACACCGAGATTCAACTTGAACAGAAGTTGGCCATCAGGCATTGGCATCTCCGCATGGGCGGGGGTTCTTGCATGTGTTACCTGTTCCCGACTAAGCGATCGTGGATTTTGGGCTAAACGTATCAACCCCTGGTTCATTCAGTGCTCCAAACCAGAATCGGCTTATGCTGCTATTTTACAAACGATTAGAACAATTTATATACTGACTTCCACAATGCCCAGAACATTTTTTACAACAATTCTTTTCTCAATTTGCAATCAGTCAAGCTAGACCAAATCGAGGCACCATCATCATCATGTCATGTGTCAGCTGTACGCCGTAACGGCGCTTCGCTGCCGCGCGACCACCACCAGTCGCACGCGGGCTGAGTATACCGCTAGGAAGCCCACCCCTACGCGGATTCGAACCGGTGACCTCACGATTGCAAACCAGACGCGCAGACCATTCGGTCACCGGTCGATATCTTATCCTACGGATGTTTGGTACATGTTGAACTGAATAATGAACGCATTCGTGTGAAACTATCTAACTCCGATTTGGGTATCCTCTACTCTTCAAACTTCAATCTCTATGAACGGACGATCTTTGACTAACATATGGTATAGAATCCATACACATCCTGCCAAACTTGAACTTTTCAAAATTCTCACACTTCCCATCCTTGAGCACAGCAACATTATATGTGGGAATATGCGTATTGGTGACAGGAAAGCTCTGAAAAACATGTGAAGAATCTAATAGAGACATAAGCGGAGCTAAAGTTGGGTATTGACTGAGAATTGATCGGCCAGCAATTACCATTCCGCATAAAACGAATCGAACCATACCGTCAATATGATAAACCCGGGGAGTGGAACTCACTCACACTGGCTGAAGACCGGACGCAAAAAAATGAGCGATCTTGACCTCCTAAATTAGCATGTTTCGGCTATCTATACATACAGTTATGGTGTAAACAGACTCCTTGTTTACCAAGCCTTGGTCTTCTGTATTCCTTCGGTTGGCGTGACTGAGAAGTCAGACAGTCGCAGTCTCATAGGGCAGCTAGCAACAGTACAACAATCGTCAGTGGCAGAGAGCAGAGGTAAAGAAGAAGCGTTACAACAGAATCATTCGCTAAACGTCTGTTGAGTAAAATTTCCACGAGCTCTCAGGAGCGTTGTCAGCAGCTTATGCTCGAGTCTCTTTGGTTGCGACCATTATAACCTCACTTGATGCTGATGCATAATCTCATGAACCAAAAAGACACTCCAATCTGTGCAAATTAGAATTGCAGTATATACTTCACCCGGAGGCTTCGCAGTAAGACTTCTAAAGTAGTTGTACCAAGAACGAAGACAGCTATTCAATCCAACTTCTTCCCCATCAGATACGCTGTCATGTCGAAATAGCCTACCAACCACTATCGGGTCTTGTAAAATGCATGAACATTCCACATTACACTTGGAAATTTTGCTAGTCCAGAACTCCCTAATGACCATGATTTCATCGGGCAAATCACCAAATGACTACTTTTAAAATGTACCAAAGAACGTATAAACAGTGAGACAAGGGGTTCATGAGTTCAGAGAGGTTTGAAAACAACCGTTGGTATAGTAGTTTGGTGACGTTTCGCGCTTCACACAAGGGCTTCGTCAGACCAGGTGAAGCATTGCAATTGGGGTGGGATTTTTAAAAAATAGCGAACAGGGGCGATAACCGCGTTGCCCGGGACTTGAGTCATGATGTAATTACAGCAACCGTTCGTGATGTCACCTCAGGTGGTTTAAACACAGTGGTAATAGTCCAGGTGTTCCTTTGTGTGTCATGACATTGACGGATAAGCCCATAGTGTTGACAATGGGAGTCGATTTGCACTTTCCAGTCTGATCCACGCACCGATGCTCGTCAAGCTGGCCGGCTTAAAACCGCCCGCCATGCATTAGGGAATTCTACCCCCTCAATTCTATTCACGCAATCGTCAGATTTGGCAATTTCCACCGCCTCGGCAATCAACCGCTGAGATGTTGATCGTATGCCCCTCCTAATGACCTCTACGTTTTCGAGGTCTATCTGGTGACCCGTGTCTAATGCATGCACAGCTACGGCCGAGTCTCTTACAATTGCCTGGTATTCAAACACGTTTCTTGGTAGCCTTGAAATGCGCCTCCTATGCTCCGAAATTCGTGTGCGTAATTCTCTCGCTGTTTGGCCTATGTACACATGTGCACAGTCCTTACATTTAATTTTATAAACACAGTTAGTCGTCCTATCCTTGGGAAGCGGGTCCTTCAGGTGTACCAGCGTCGTACGTGACATTCGACCTCGGTGAAAGATTCCCCTTATATTTTCCTTGTTTAGTACCCTCCGAATTGCCTCCGACGTGCCTTCCTTGTACGGAATTCCGACCGTCCCTACCCACTCGGCTGTGGGTCTTGACTGCTAGTGTAGCACTTTATGCAATTGACGTTTGACTAGTCACCGTGGGTAACCGCTTTCTAATAGTTTGCTCATTGCCACTTTCCGCGCAGCCTTTTTGTCCTCCTCCATCGTGCACAAGGTTTGTGCCCTGTAGAACAGTGTTGAGGCTGTTCCAGCGTAAATCTGTTTCGGATGACCCGATGTGTAGTGGAGTACGCCCCTGTTCGCTATAAAAATCCCACCCTAATTGCAATGCTTCACCTGGTGTAACGAAGCCCTTGTGTCAAGATCGAAACGTTACCAAACTACTATACCAACCGATTGTTTCCAAACCTCTGAACTCATGACTACTCGATCGGTTCCAAGTATCTTTCAAGAAAGTGAGACAAGATTTTCGGTTTTTTTTGGAGCACAAAGCTCATAACCAACAAAATCACGTATTTCGGAATGTTTTGATGACCTAGACGCTCCATAATACATATTTCGTTCATTCATGAACATGGTCATTAGTGTACTAGTGATGTGTCCCTATTTCAGGGATAGTCTCCGCACAATGAAGAAATATACTCATTGTAATATAGTGTACTCATTTCCGAGTATTTTAGGGAAACGCGGACAGCTGAACCACTTGTTTTTTCAGTGTTAATCCTGTGTCCTTACAAATGCTCTGCCTACGTCCTACTACATTTCTCACTGTGAGTGCGCTTACCTTCACGTAACTACCAGTTGTTGCGCGCAGGCAAGTTGCTTCTCGTATTGGTTATCGTTACGCCACCACCGCAGTGTCATGGTTCAGTGGATCTACGCTCTGACGTAGTATCCATTACATCGCACCGTCAGGTACGAGCTACGAGCTTTGCATACCAGCTTCCGGGTGTGCCCAAGTGATTGTAGACAATCAAGATCCCCACGATTTCCACTGATTGAGAATGACTATGATGAATTGGCTGGATTTTCACTTCGCCTTTCAGATGTAACTTGGCCTCGTTGATTTTTCTTACAGGGATTCGTCATTCTCGTAGAGCGCGAATGGCTTCAATTTGGCCACAAATTTGCCGATCGTTGCGGTCACGGAGATTCCTATCCGTCGGGTGACGAGCGCAGTCCAATTTTTCTTCAGTGGCTGGACTGCGTGCATCAAGTGCGCATTCAGTTCCCCGATCAGTTCGAATTTAATGAGACGTTTCTGGTGAGCACACTGTCATTTCACTTTGTATCCCTCCGGAAATATCCCCCCGAAAAACCGTTACCTTTAGATGCAACTACACATGAGCTGATTTAAGTCACCAGGATTATTTTTCTGGTCTTGCGGTCCAGTGCGTAATTCCGATTTCGATTTACACAGTTTAACCAAACAATTATGCTCCAGGCACTAGAAAGTGCGGAGGATGCAGTTGCATCACCAAGGCAACAGTTATCTACTTTGGGCGGAAAATTGAGTTATAGGATGCAAATGGGATACAAAAACAGTTGGGAAGACCATACAGTCTAGGAATTGTGGTGCCTGTGGGGCGTAGATTTTCACATACATTCTCACTGATGTAGCCATCGTCCTTAAGCTTTTTGAGACAGTTGCAGATTTGAGTTTCGATCTGCTTTGTCTTGTCTTTCTCAGTAAGAAGCTTGGAAAACTTGGTATCGTCTGCCAATAGTTTGTGCATTTTCCGCATGTTATCTTTGTTATATAGTATAATTGTTATGAACAAGGAAGATGACATCCGGAAAATGCACGAACTATTGGTAAACGATACCAACTTTTCGAAGCTGCTTAATGAGAAAGACAAGACAAAGCAGATCGAAACTCAAACCTGCAACGGTTTCAAAACGTTTAGGGACGGGAACATATGGGAAAAACTGTTGGGCACAATGAGCGAAACCAACCCGGTTAGAATTCAAGCTTGGGTTTGGAATACCGTCGCATGGTTTGATTGCGACATGCAGTGACTTCAGTTCACTCAGTCACTGCGATCACTAGAACTTTTTATCGAAGTGCAGGAGTTTCGGTGTTGGGAGGAGCAAAACCTAAATGGAATATTGGCATCTTGATTTAAGAGAAATCGAACGCAGGAATGACACGAACTCTGCGACTGAACGATATCTGCCAATGTCTCCACAGGTAAAACACACATCAATTCCACCAGAGTGGGAAGTAAAAGTCTGTGCTTCCTTTTGATCGATCAGACACTTGTAGTACGGCCGTTGAAAAAACCAGTGTGAAATGCGACACTTGGACACATCGTTGGTGTTAGTTGCTAAGTCAGTGGCAGTTTCTTGCAACTTATTGTACCACTATACGATCCAGTTTCTTCACTATTCTCTTTCCTAAACATTAGAAGTGTTTGCATGCTAACGACGGAATTTCACTTCTTTTGACCTTTTTCAGGTGAAATTGGGTCTACACGTTTACTCTGGCATGTTTGGTACGTTTTTATGCAACTCCGAACGGTGCCGACAAGAGGCCGATCTGGACTCTCGCACATGTTCCGTTTGGGTACTTTTATCGCAGCGTTACAATTGGACCATCACGAACCAGTTCTATGAGGCCTCCAAACAAGTAAGATCTGTCTCTTTGACCACCTGCTTTTTGAGTTTTGCATCAACCAATAACCACCTAACCCACGCAAACTGTCTCGACGCTCCTCTATTCTTTCGATACAGGGAGCATTTGCGTCAACAGCCGGCCCGTAGCCCAAAGGATCACAAGCTTGCCTTGTTAACCGAGGGTTCAGATTCTAGGCTGCGTTCGGTACCGGGCCACCCTCGCAGTATCCGTAGTCCACGCGCGATTGTTGGTAGTTGCACTGCAGCGATGCGTACGTACTGCGTACCGTCGTCCTGTTGATTGATACCCCTATATCAACTGAGCCTGCCGCTTTCCAGGATAGATGGGTTCACTGCTTGAGAAAACCGTATCGGCTGTTAGCAATTTATGACTACTATGGTGCTGGAGTTATTCCTCTAGTCCTATTTCGGTTGCCTCTAAGCTATTGGCATCCATCCTGCATCGCAGGCTATCCCCAGTATGTGAATCATACTACCGTGAAGAACAAGCTGGTTTCCGTCCTGGTCGCGGATGCGTGGATCAAATCTTTACGCTCCGCCAGCTCCTCGAACATCACCATTTTGATCACAGGCCCACTATCGTTGCATTCCTAGACATACGTACCGCTTTTGACTCCGTTGATCGACTTGCTTTATGGCGTTGCTTGCTAAAGAATAGGGTGCCAAAGAAATATACCACCATCTGACGAGCAATTTACCTTCATACATCAGGCAGAGTGAGGGTTTATGGCAAGGTTTCCTCGAAATTCGATGTCAATAGCGGTGTGTGACAGAGATTCCCTATGTCCCCATTCCTCTTCAATTTCGCAATCGAAGACGTTCTGTCGAATACTCTAGAAGGTTTCCAACATTTTGGCCTGGAGCTTCTACCGGGTGAGCACGCGACCGACTTAGATTATGCTGATGATATCGCCTTACTTGGTAACGATCCTCAGGGTATGCAACTCATTCTGGATCGTTTGGCGGTTGAAGCATCCAATTATGACATGAGCTTCGCACCATCGAAGTGTAAAGTACTGCTCAAGCATTGGCTTTCACCTGCTCCCGTGCTCACTCTAGAAGGTGAACGACTTGAACAGGTAGATAGTTTCGTCTACCTTGGGAGCCGTGTTTCTACTGAGGACACTATTAACAAAGAACTTTCTCTTCGTGTCGCTAAAGCTCGGTCAGCATTTATCAATCTGAGGTACTTGTGACGTCGTCGCAACATTTCATTCTCACTAAAGGGCCGCGTTTACAGTGCATCAGTTCGCTCAGTGTTGTTGCATGGGTCCGAGTCCTGGCCGATTCGCGTGGAAGACATGTGCCGTCTTTTGTCTTCGATAACGGTTGCTTAAGGAGGATCGCTTGTGTTTCGTGGCAACATCGAGTTAATAGTATTGACGTTCGACGTCGCATCTTGGGGAATGCGAGTATTCCCTTCAACAAACTGGTTTTGTTGCGCGAGTTAAGTTGGCTCGGTCACGTCCTACGCATGGCACCTGAGCGTCTACCGCGTCGCGCTCTATTCGCTCGTCAAGAACCTGGTTGGAAGCGACCGCGTGGTGGTCAGCCTTCCACTTGACGGCAGCACATGAAATCGCTGACGTCGTATCTAGCCGCTGTTGGATCCGTACGTCTTCCAGGATGGGGACCCAAAGATGAGGAGTGCCAATGGATTAGCACGCTTGAAGACATGGCCCGCAACCGGAATCAGTGGAAGAATTGTGTACAGAATTGTATTGATTCACATGTTTAATACTACAAACATCGAAAACGACAAAAAAGAGCAAAATCGGCGTGTGAAAAAATGTTTTGTTCTATTTTTTTGTCAGAATCTTTCATTCTTCCTGCGGAATAGTAGCTGAAGTGTGTTGCTCACCTTCAACTACCATGCCACGATGATTATGACGCAATGACTGTCTTTTATCCACTGATCTCCATGGTTTCCTGTTGGATCGTTGACAGCTGAGATTACATACTTTAGATCAAGCGTCACTAAACTTTTTCTACGGCGAACCGGATGATTAGAAAAAAACTGACGTGGACCCGATAACTGGAAAAGTAACCTACGCGGGCTGGATAACTGACAAAATGGTTATCGTGGGCTGCAAGTTGCAAGCCAGAACATAAACTCTGAGAACTCTGGAAACAAAACACAGTGTCTGATTTTCTTTTCTTTGTACCCTTGGTGAAGGCTGGCGTACAGCGGATCTGAACAATAATTACAAACATAATAAAAATCCTATTGAAACACCGGAGAAGCAGAGGACTTGTGGTCATTGGTAGAACTACAGCTCACCAGGGGTACAGGTAAAGTTCATTGGTACATGGAACACAACATAAGAACGCATGCAATATATATATATATATATATATATATATATGTATATATATATATATATATATGAGAAAATATTCCGAGTGTAGACATCAAAACAAGAGTCAGCGAACAGGCTCGGTTTCGGCGGATTTCGCCAGGCTTGTACACCACAACTGATACGAACAGTATGATCAGACAAGGGTAAAGGTCAAAGGTCTATGTCATCTAAATGACAAGGTCAGGTGGTACGTTCATAAACGGTCAAGCACCTGTCAGTCGCATGTTCCCCAGCAAGGGTCACTGTGATATTGGGCTAGTGTAGAGAGCGAATCTGGTCGAATCGTTTTTGTGCACATTAGTCTGAGTTCTGGAGGTGGATGGCGATCGCTTCGGCTGTTGTGAGTAAGCGACATCTTACCGCTCATGTGTAGCATCCAGGTACGCGGTAACTAGGCTGAAAGCATCGGTAGGTATCAATTTGGTGCTTAAAATCAATTAGATGTGCCGACACAGCGCCCGTCACTGTTTTCGTTCCATCTCCACACAGCCAAGCCAGGCAATGCTCATGGATTCTCTCAGTCAGTCTCTTGGTTGTTCTTCCCATATATCTTGCTCGACATGAACAAGTGAAGGAGTATACACAGAAAGAAGTACTTGACCGAGGAAGTCTGCCCTTGAGTTGAATCCTTACGCTTGGTGTCGAAGTAAAGCTTAACTGTAAGCTTGTTGCGTAGTACTTATGCTTCATGGTGTCGGATAACCTACTAGACTTTGCCTGCACTATTCCAGCCCCATCGAACGACAACGATAAATAAACCGGTTTCTGTTTGACTGAATCAGTGTTAACTCTCGCTTCTCGGCACTCCATATTTCTCAGAACAAACTTTTCGGGATAACCATTTCTCAAAGAGGCCACTTAAGAAATTCTGCTCGTCCGAAAACGTTCCCTCACTACATATCCTTCTTGCCTTTTTGGTTAAACATTTAATCAAATTCCGCTTCTGGTTTAGTGGAACAAATCTGACCAAATGTAAATGATTTTTACCATTCCGGGTGGCTTTTCCGTGCATTCTGCTTTGAATCGACCCATCTAGTCTATACTAACCTGGACGTCTAGGAAGGATAGCGGACCACTGCGTTCAGCTTCCAGGGTAAACTTAGCAGTCGCGAGTTGAGTTAAAATTGGATATACTTTGCTCTGTGCAACATTGTCTATCTGTCACCTAAAATGCATCACCCACCTATAGCCCGTAGTAGGGTAAACCACTAATGATACGCTTATTTGCTCATGAATACTTCTGCTAGCAGCGATCCTAGTGTTGAACCCATCGCTACTCCGCCCTTTTGTCTGTATATTACCCCATTAACCTGAACTTGTATGTTTCTAGCACACAGCATGAGTAGCTGTTTCAATCGATTGCTCGAAAGATCGACGTCCAGCTCATGTGATCGAATGGCGTCGCATAGATAGTCTATTGTCTCTTCGAAAGGAACATTCGTGAAACGCGACACGACGTCCAATGAAAACATCTTTTTCTGATTGGCTCAGGATATCTTATGGAGTCTAAGAAGCTGAATGTATTACAGAGACTTTACTTGGATGAAATATTTTCTCACTGGTTCTAAGGACTTGGCTAACCACTTAGCTGTTGCGTGGTCAGATGAGTTATATATGTCCCGCAAGTGTCTAAGTGGAAGTCCCTCTTTATGTACCTTCGGCGAACCGTAAATTAAGTAACTTGAAAATTCCCATTTAATTCTCGAGTACGGAAGACCATTTGGTGAGCACCGAACGATAGGTTACCGCCTTTGTACGCTTAAGACAGCTGAAGCAATTTGCATTCGATTGTTCCAGCCGTGCTTATGCTCACAGAAGAAGGTAGTCCAGGCTCTCCAGCTTCCATGGTCAGCGAAGACGGATGACGCACAGGTCGACTGCTTTCGGTCAGACGCGGTAGCAAACAACTAGCTCACTAAGACCTAATTCGTTTTCTCATCTTTATTCGTCTTGAACTAACTGGGTCGATTATTATTTTTTCAGCCTCAATATGATTGTAATGGTCTGATGATGAATCATTGAAAGCAATTGCTCACCAGATGGTCTTTTGTTCTCGCGACTTAAATGGGAATTTTCAATTTACTTAAATCATCCAAGGACCCATTAGTGGTGAACGAGATCAATCAGTTCCTTAAGTTCTCCACTAAGCTTGTTGAAGCCAAATGCTGTGTTCAGTTCTTCAATGACTACCTAGAGCGTATATCCGACCAGATTTTGGAAACAGTTACGCCGTGATCGGATCTATCCCAATAGAAAGACGCTTAGACGACATGCATTAAACCAACATGGTACAATGCAGTCCAAGGTTGCTGAATACGAAAGAAATCTAGCACAACGCCACACAGCAGCGGATGAATTAGCTGTTGAAGAAAGGAAAATGTTTGTAGACTACGTTCAGTCTATCACTGGCAACCGTGTACAGTGGAGGCGTTCTTCTTTAGCCAAGTCGCTAAACCAGCTTAAGCCGCTAGCCAAGTTTCCAAACAGGCCAGACAGGTATGTACACAACTTTCCTAGTTTGAACATGGACCCAACTTTCATGGGTTCTATCACGGCTTAAAGTTTTACGCTCCTAGACGCAAGGATAACCAGCTCGATTATGAGTTACAGTTCCTAAGTTTATATCAGCAGA